ATGAAGGAAAGACATTTTACATGGTCTCTAAAATGAATATACAACTATCTTGGTAAACAAGATTAGTAATAATTTTTAATTACTAGAAAACTACTCAGAATATTTACCCATGTGTTTAATCTAGCAAGTCGAAACTTTTCAAAAGTAAGCAATATTTATAAGGTAATGAGGATGTCGTTCATCATAATTTGGACAATAAAAATAGGGGTGCACTAGTATTAGTCTTTTTGCTATTTGATATTTTAACTATACCGAAAATCAGGGTACTTTAAATTATAACTAAAATAAGTGTGCTTTTCTAAAAAGTCTTTTGAGACAAAATAGGAGCAAGCTAGCCAAAAGACACGCTATTTTTCAGCGATCCTCATGGTGATTTCATATTTCTTAGTTAATTAAATAATACCTTTATCATCTAACAGCAGAAATGAATGGGTGCAGAATTCAAGGTCTCAATGATAGCTAACTATTATTAATTAGCTTCCCAAAATGTGACAAAGTGAAAGAAGGCAATATTTCTTTTGCCAAAAATTGTGCAATTGTCATTTTTTATTAGACACAGAGTTATGGGGATGCAACAAGAAATATTTCCTGATAATCTCCCAAATGTTGTGGAAACTAATTTCTTGGAGATGAATTTTGTGCTTTTTGTGACTTTTTTAACTTTTAGTTTAGATTCAGGGGTACATGTGCAGGTTTGTTAAATAGATATTGTGGGGGTTTGGTGTACAGATGATTTCATCACCCAGGTAATAAGCATGGCATAGTACCCAATAGGTGGCTTTTCAATCCTCACCCTCCTTCCACCGCCTACCCTCTAGTAGGCCTTGGTGTCTGTTGTTCTGTCCTTTGTGGCCATGTGTATTCAGTGTTTAGCTCCCATTTATAAGTGAGAAAGTGTGGTTTTGGTTTTCTGTTGCTGTGCTAGTTCACTTAGGATGATGGCGTCTCAGAGATTAATTTTGAATATTTCTTCCTATAACAGAGAAATTTCTTTTCATATGAATTTCTAGGTTGTTTTTTCTTAGCGTAAAAAGTAAATATGTTGTAACATAAGGAATTACAGACTATTTGTCCAATAGAGGGTAAGTTTAATATAAATTATGGGAGCCTACAATCTTAAAAAGTGAAGCTTTGGAAGGGATATGGTGGAGTTTGTAAAACCAGGGAAAAGATAGAATGAAAGTGGACCTACATTTTAGATTCCAGAATTTGAAACGAGAAGGCTTAGGTAAAATAAAAAGAAATGCCATGTTGTATTACTCAACAACAACAAAAATTACTCTAAAGGCAGCGTGTATTTCAAGCCTAAAAGAGATAGAAAAACAAAAGAAAGCAATTTCTTTATAGCAGGTTAGGAAAGGGTTGAGGTAGACATGGTAATTTCAAATAAGCATGTTAGGAGTTCACCACGTGCCAGAAACTGCATTAAGAACTTTAGAGAGATTATCTAATCTAATTGTCACAATAACACTTTGAGACTTGTATTATCATTACCTTTTATTTCCCCAGCTTTATTGAGGTATATAGGTGATGCCTTGAAAAAGAAAGAAATTCTGTCATTTGTGGCAAGGTATATGGACCTGGAAGACATTATGCTAAGTGAAATAAGTGAGACACAGATAGACAAATACTGCATGACCTCACTTATACGTGGAATCTAAAATACCTTTACTTTTATTTTAAAGACAGGCATCAGAGGTTTCTAGAAATCTCATCACTTTACTCAAGGTCATGCCACTAGCAAGCATAGAAAATAGATTCAATACTATGCAGCCATAGAAAGGAACGAGATCATGTCCTTTGCAGGAACGTGGATGGAGCTGGAAGCCATTATCCTCAGCAAACTAACTCAGGAACAGAAAACCAAACACCGCATGTTCTCACTTATAAGTGGGAGCTGAACAATGAGAACATGTGGACACAGGGAGGGGAACAACACTCACTGGGGCCTGTCAGGGGAGGGTGGGGAGGGAGAGCATTAGAGAAAAGAGCTAATGCACACTGGGCTTAATACCTAGGTGATGGGTTGATAGGTACAGCAAACCACCATGGCACACGTCTACCTATGTAACAAACCTGCACATCCTGCACATGTACCCTGGAACTTTTTAAAAATTAACAAAAGAAAATAAGATTCAAACTCAGATTGCTCTGTCTCCAGAGCCAAACTCCTAACCTCTCTGCTGTAGTGTATCAGCGAGATTGTTGATGTCACACAGAGTGACAAAAAGAAATAGAAGCCAGGCCTGGATACGGAAGAGCCTGCTATATATGGCTAAGTGTTAAGTAACATTTTGCCTCATATTTCTACAACTCAATTAATTATCACACAGACTCAAATGATGTCAACATGGATTGCTACTTAAAGATCTGGATGATGGATCAAAAATAACTCATTTTAAACTTCGGTTTAGGCATTTCAAAACTAGATAATCTTGATTAATTGACTAACCACATCAGTGAACAGAGTTTCCTCATTTCTAAAATAGGAATAATAATCATTCATACCATGCATATTTCATAGAGTAGTTTTATAATCAAATTATGCAATTCAAGTGAAAATACTAAATAAAGAGAGGCATTATTGAGAAAGAGCTAATGCACACTGGCTTAATACCTAGGTGATGGGTTGATAGGTACAGCAAACCACCATGGCACACGTCTACCTATGTAACAAACCTGCACATCCTGCACATGTACCTGGAACTTTTTAAAATTACAAAAGACAATAAGTTCC